GACTAAAAAGAGAACACGGAATGTATCTTAATGTCCACTTAAGAGTCCAGGGGTGGGGGCTGCAGCTTCGAGGCCATATGTGGCCTTCTAGGTCCTCGGGTGTGGCCTTTTGACTGAGTCCCAGTTGTACAGAACAAATCCTTTTATTGCGGGAATTTGCTCTGTGATGTTTGAATTCAGTCAAAGGGGGGCACTTGAGGACCTAGCAGGCCATATGTGGCCTTGAGGCCTCAGGTTCCCCACCCTTGAGTTAGGCAATAGGTTTCTCATTCCATCATCTTAGGTTTACTATGGGAACTTCTGAGAAGCATTTTCCCTTGGAAATTCCATGTCAAAGCGGTCTGTCCTTGACCACTGTCAACAAATTGTATAGTCTCATCTACTTAAACTCAGGATCACATTGATTTACAAGGGAATTCTACCAAACATTCAAAAAACAATTAATTCCAACATTACATAAACTTTTGGTAAAAATAGGGAAATTCCTTCTATGACGTGAATATGTTCTTGATACATGAACCCAGAGTAAAAACATGAGGTCTAAGGTGAGATTTGAATCCAGGTCTCCTGATTGCAAGTCCAGTTTGTTGTTGTTTAATCATGTCAATTGTGTCCAACTCTTCGTGACTCTATTTTTTTTCCTGCCAAACTTGCTACTTTAATTTCCCTGCAAAAAATGAAAATTGGTCCAACTGTAAAAATTGTATGTAGAAGCTAAGGACTGAATATGCCCAAAACAACACCAGCATCGGTCACAGAAGTTGGCTTCACAAGAAAAGTGTCGGGCCCAGCTAAATAAAAACACTTTTGTACAACACATAGTAAACATTCCCATTTGAACAATCCTATACCAACATGTGTCTTACAGTATACATATAGCACAATTATTTTATAAAAAATAGAGAGGGCTATAAAATACAGTAAATAAATATCTAAGGCCAAACATTTTACTGATCACTGCTTAAGACAAGATAAATAAAATTATCAATTTGATTTGTTATAAAATGGTAAAGCACATACATATACACATGGCATACTACCCAGCAGAAAAAAGAAACAATTATCTAAAAAAAAATCAATTTCTCTCAGCAAATTCAAGGGTACATTCAGTTAAGGAAAGTAATTGAGCCTCTTAAGAACCCAGGCTGTATAACTGTGACTTCAGGTATTTCCCCTGTGTGTTACAGAAGTCACCCTGATCACTAATCAATACCACTTGAATGTATAGAATTTTATTGATTCCTTTTCATTGATGATGGTGTATGATATACCCCATTTGGGGTTTTCTTGGCAAAGACGCTGGGGTGGTTTATCATTTTATTGGTTCTATGACACCACACTGCCTCTCCTAGGCCCCCAGTTAGCAGGGCTTCCCTTTTCCAATACAGCAGGACATAGAGAGGTGTTTGCTATCAGAGCAGGATAGCCAGTAGGGACTTCCAGCTCTTCTTTCACTTTTTTGTTGGGTAGCCTGCACTGACCCCTCCACCAAAGGGTTCCTAGTGTACTTGGCAGCTGGGTACTACAGGGGATGGAATGCCAGGCCCTGAGTTCAAATCCGGCCTCAGACACTTAACTAGCTGTGTGACTCTCAACAAGTCACTTCACCTCTGCCTCAGTTTCTTCAAATGTAAAATGGGGATAATTAATAGCACCTACCTCCCAGGGTTGTTGTAAGGATTGAATGAGATTTTGTAAAGAGTTTAACACAGTTAGTGCTTTATAAATGTTATCATTATTATATCTTGAGGCTCCTGCAGGCTTCTGAGAATTTGCACGATCTGGTGCCAGCGAAGCCCTGTTAACAAAAAATATATATATCACAAGTCTATGAGACAAGTGTTGCAATTGAATTTGTTACAAGAGAAATGAATGCATGTGGAATTCCAGGTGCAAGACACTGAACTCTACCTGAGGCGTGAGGCAGGGAAGAGATGGATAGAAACAAAACACACAATGGTGTTAGGAGTAAGAACTAAGGACCTCTGACTGAGAGGTACTAGTCAGGAAGTCTTGAGAGCTACCAGAATGGCCCATTGCTGGGCCAACCAGACAGGGCTGTCGACAGGGATGTGCTGGTAAATATTAAACAACCAGCCCTCCAGGAAAAAATGTATGGCTAGGTATACTGTTGTTAGTGGTGGTGGTGGTCAGACCCAACCCAAGCCTTTGTAGATATACTTTTTTTATTTTTTAGTGAGGCAGTTGGGCTTAAGTGACTTGCCCAGAGTCACACAGCTAGGAAGTATTATGTGTCAGAGGGCGGATTTGAACTCAGGTCCTCCTGACTCTAGGGCTGGTGCTGTATCCACTGCGCCATCTAGCTGCCCCTGTAGATACACTTTTAAGTTGAATCTACATTATTAAAATTTTTTCCATCCCTTTCTTGTCTTGACAAACAAGAAATCCAGCCCCGATTCGTAGTCTTTGCCAACTTATGAGGTATAAATGCTCACACTGAAAACGTAATTATTGGTCTCCTGAGCCAAGTTCAGTTGGCTTCAGCACACTCCTGGCTGTGGGCCTTTACTGAGCTAGGCAAGGCCACGGCCTTGGAGAAAGGCAGTTCAGACACAATTGCGCCACCTGGTGTTGGGCTGCTCAGGTCAGGGGGTGGCATCTGGAAAGACTTGGACAGACTGAGAATAATTTTTCATCTTTGATTCTTTTTTATTAAGTTTTATTGTTCATGGCTCAGGACCATTCCTCCTGAAACTTTGGCTGAACTGAAAGCCTATTTCCTGTTAATACTAACCTCACTTGAGATAAACCTGACTTATGAAATAAAAGTGTTAAAGGGAACACTGCTTGACATTCCTCAGATAGAAGCCAATAGGGAGTTTGAGATCCCCAAAAAATTATTTAGTTATTTGCGGAAAGGATTCCCCTAGCTGACTGTTTAAGAAAGGATTTCCTTGACCCTGAGTTTTGTTGGTTATCTTGGTGATATGTAAATTCATACCCTTTCAATCAGTCCATTATGAACCGTCTAAATGTAGTTTAATCTGCAACCTGACTCAGTTTACCTATAGATTAACTAAGTTTATTTCCTTAAGGGAGGTATCAAATTATGATTCTGTTTAAATAAGTTTGTTCAACTTTTATGACATTGAAGGAAGCATGGGATTATGAATGGGTTTTTTTTAACTTTTATAGCCTAAAAGAACATACAAGATTGCAATATGTAAATCTATCTATCTATCTATCTATCTATCTATCTATCTATCTATATATATATATATATATATATATATATATATATATTTCTCTGTCACTCTGATGTAATTTTGTCTACAAGAAGCCTTGTTAAAATCCTAATTGAGGTGCAGGGGTTATTTTTCTACTCTGAACTTCTGCCTAAGCATAAGAAAACCTAGGTTTTTCCTCTATAATATCTGTGTTGTGGTAAATTTATTTCAGTAGCAGTTACCTATCACATGGACCTAAAAAGGAGATATTTTGGAGCAGCTAGGTGGCACCGGCCCTGGAATCAGGAGGACCTGAGTTCAAATCCAGCCTCAGACACATAATACTTCCTAGCTGTGTGACTCTGGGCAAGTCACTTAACTCCAATTGTCTCACTTTAAAAAAAAAAAGAGCTATTCCTTCCACAAAATCCTGGGGGCACTCTCACACTGGAAGTCAGTGGATGCAGGACTGGCCTTTTGGGATTTCTATATAGGAGAGGGCCAGGCAGGGGCCTCAGACTCAGGCGTCTGTCCAAGATCAGTGTTGCTCCCGTCTCGGGGTCTCTATGTGCCAAGAAGGGGCTAAGTGACCTCTAGAGCCCCTACCAACTGTAGGTCTCTGATCCTAAGTATTGTCACTGAAGAGGTCTAGTACTGCCCCTTTCTATTGGGCTCAGAAGGGAGCCAGCATGTGTGAAGTGGACCCAGGACTGAGGCTGGCCACTAGCAATGAAGACACTGCAATGTTTCCTGGGCCCTAGTAAAGCTATGGCCAATTCATCCCTGGTTCCTCCCAACTCATTGGCTCACCAGGGTAGTTACTGATGAAGGGAACCACCTTCTGAAGGGCATGAGAACAGGAAGTTGCTAAATAAGGTACTGATGTCAGCCCTACTGCTGGGGTCTCTGGCTCTGAGATAGAAGCCTCAAAAGTAAGACTTTGTGGCCCTAACAGAAGTCCTGAGGAGACATCCCCACCCCCACCCCATCCCTGCCCAGGAGGAAATCCCCAGCTTACCTCTATTTCTCTTGATAGTTGACATCAGCAGAAACCAGTCCTATCACCTTGACCCACTAGCTGCAGCAGGCCCCTGAGACCACCGTAAAGACCTGGTGTTATCACCTTGAAAGAATGGGAATATACCCTCCACACACACCATTTCTGAACCCATCCTCTCTCTGGGAGGCCTAGGTCTTACGGGGTCAAAGTAGATCAACACCAAGTCAAAGGCAAAGTGATTATAAGTGGGTGGATCCCTGGGGTCTATTGGAATTAACAGAATCATAAAAATACACACACCTTTTTTTGCAGCAAACTCGATATATTTTCAACACTTGTAAAAGAACTTTGAAAGAGCAATTTTCCTAGACATCTATCAATACAGATGAGGGGTTTTCTCCTATCATCTAATTATGCATTGGAATCAACACAGAAAAACATCAGTAATTGGGGCACAGAAATAAAGCATGTGGAAGAGAGAAGCATGGTGACATTGCAAGAAGGGACAGGTAACCAGGTACCAGGTACCAGATAACCCCACCACCCACACCAGATTAAAGTGGCAATATCTTTGGCACTAACAAACATCAATCAAGATCTTTGGTCACTGAGCATTAACACAGGTCATAAATGCTGAAGTGTGGAACCACCAGAATGCAAAGCACACCTCATGCCTTGTGGTCATCTCGGCAGGCAGGGAAAGCTCCGACTCAGCATCCCAGTCTCTATGTCCATTACTGCAAACACTAGCTACTGCTCTGCAAGGGGAGAAGAGGCTTCCTCCATGGAAGTAATTAATGGAAAATCTAAAGGAACAAACATCAACCCTGAAACATTGCAAGCACAATACAAGAACAGATCATTTTGGCAAGATATGGACTGATAGACTCAATAGATTGGCTCCAAGAAATGCTAATCCGGGAGGAGCCAAGACCACCAAGCCTTTAATTAGCTTTTTGCTGGTACTCAGCAGAAGCCACCTGGTAATCAGTGGCTGCTGTAAATAGCTGAGAAGGATCCCCGGCCAGATACTCCAGGAAATCTTGCAAATGGCTCATTAGCACATTGAGGCTGCCCTCATTCAGAGGAGAGCAAGCAGGCACGGAGCCCATCTGTGGGAGTAGGCGTAGCAGATGAATACCGCCATAGATCCGGGACATCTGACAAGTGGGGATAATGGGCCAGGACCTCAGCATACTGAGGTCTCTCAAAACTGTAGAGCAGCTGGGTGCCCAGCACCATGTCAAAGTACTCTTTGATCAAAGCCACCAGTCCACTGATGGCACACTTCTTGTCGCTGGAGTGGTGGTTTGGCTGGAAGGTGGCATACTCAATCAGGATGGCAGCTACCGTTTTCCTGGCAGGCACAATAAAGAGCTTTTTCTCGAGGGTCACCAGCTCCCAATCTTGTATTAGCAGGGACCTCAGGACCATGGGCAGGTGGACCTGGACTTCCTGTCTGCCCAGGGATTTTTTTTCTGGCTCTGTAGTAGCATCCCCGTCTCTCCATGGCCTATTTCCTCTCCCTTGAGCACACGCCCTAACTATTTCCGGGCTTGGGCTTGGTTGTTGTGCCGCGGAACCCCCAGCGATACCGCCTTCGCTTGGGTTGCAATGGTCGCTGCCCCAGGAGGCAGTAACCGGGCGTTCACCGTGCTGCTTCCTCTCAGCAGCTATCTGGAGGAGGACATAGGCATATCTGTCCCTCTCCATGTAGGCAGCAGAGTACCGGAGCACGCTGCCCTCGGGGATCCACTCATAGTCCCAACCAAAGGGGGCAACGGGGTAGAGCGGTTCTTTAGAGAACATCTTGGGGACAACAGGCAGAGGGTCCAAGTTTCTGAGGCTGCTGTCCCCTCTTCCCAGAGTTATGGAACGTCTGTAGCTGCTCTCACTGGGAGCTCCCAGGGGCATGGCCCTGCCTTGGCTGCCGCTGTGGTTAGACCAGAACCTTGGGCCACCTGGAGCGGGCCCAGTCGGAGATAACGGGGGCCACCAGAGGTGCGCACTGGGATAGGCCACAGCCCCTCTCCTGGCTGGACTGCTTGTGCTCTCAGATGGATAACAGACTAGGTATTTGACTTGATTGTTCTCCACAGCCACCCAGATACACTGGGCCACGCGCATCTTGGGTCCTTGGAAAGTCAGCACCGCCTCCCCCTCTAGGAAAAACGGTAAGCTCCTGACCGGCCTACCCTCGGGCTCGGAAGAGGCCATTACTCAGCTGTCTCGTGCCTGGGGCACCTCCTTGTGAGGCTTCTGCTTCCCTGGACAGCTGGCCGGCTCCCACCTCGTCTGATCTCCGGCCAGGGCACGGGGGCTGGAGGGTTTGTGGTCCGGGTGGTGGAGCCGAGAAACCACCGCCAATTTCACTCTCCTCAGCAGTGTGGCTGGGTGTGCGATGGGGGCGGGGTCAAAGACCCGCCTTTTTCAGCCCATCACCTAACGGTAGTTGCCCAGAGAAAGGGCTTGAGAGATGTGGAGGATGGGGCGGGGGGGGGGGGGGGGGAGAATTGCCTGAATTTTCAATGTAGTGGAAACATCCCGGGTCTAAATTCAAATGTCAGCGCCGCCATTTCCTGGCTATGTCTTCTTGATCAAGTCTCTTCCCCTTCATGGTCCTCAGTTTCCCCATCTGTAAAATGGAGAGTGTTTGGTCAATAACGTCCAAACTACAGATGAGGGCTTAAGCCTGTGCTTGGGTTTAAGGACAATGTGGAAGAGGCCCGGCATCTTGGGACTAAATAAATTCCTTCTCAGCAAGTGTGAGCAGACGTTACACCACCATGCATGGGTGTCTCTGAGCGTGTAATGGGGGGGGGAATGAGAGAGACGGCTCTGTTATCCTACAAAAATGTTTTATTTTAGCATTCGTTCATCATTTCTGAAAAGGCACTTTTTAAACAGGCATTTTCCAGTGAGTGTGCAAAACAGCCGAGTTTGAGACATTCTTCCATAGCAGTGATAGTTTTCCCTCCATAAAAAAGGTAAGATAATAAAGTTGCCTTTTCCTGATATATTTATAGTCCTGCTCAGTGGTTCCCACCATTTATTTTGAGAAACAGCATACACACATATTATGCTGAAATTTAGTCCTGGGATTATATTTCAGCAGGTGTGGGGGCATTGGTGGGCACTGATTTTTGACAAAGTTCAGTGTTTCTGGTCTGCTTTGGGTCCCAGAGTCATCGTCAAGCACCTCCATTCTATCTGGCAAATATAGGGGGGAAAGGCCTGTATGGAAACAAATCTGGACATCCAGACAAATGGCCAGTGCATTCTTCTTTGGATGAACCCCCTGAGTGACAGAAAGTGGGATGCTCTACACTCAGTTCTCCTGTTCTGGGATCCTGGGACCTCTTTGATCTTGGCAGGTGGTTATACTGGGACCTTCCATTCCTAGGCTCCATCAGAACATGGTAAAACATTAGGCTGAAATCAGAGGATTTAAGTCTACATAAAAGCTCTGCTACCTCCTAGCTGTGTGACTTGGGACAAGTCCCCCTCCCCTCTCTTCACCTCTTTTTCCTCCTTTGTAAATGAGCAGTTTGCATTAGATGACCTCCTCAACCCTATGATCCTGTACACATGACACCAAGCTAGAAGGGAGAGCTAATCTTGGAGATGACAAAGTCAGGATCAAAAAGGATGTAGACAGGCTAGAACCCTGGCCTGAATCCAGTCAGATGAAGTAGAATACCACCTTCGTGGTAGAGGCAGCTGTTCAGCTGAGGTCCCAGGGCTATCCCTTTCTCCCCCACCCTTATGGTGCTGATCACTTTTACCTTTCATCGTGGTTTGCCCAGGTTTGGCTCTAGGAGAGCCTGAACTCTCCTCAGGGGATTGGGTTACCTATTCTCACATCCACTGGTTCATCACCCCCACCCTCACTACCCCAGAGAAGAGTCTATTTTTCTTCTTGTCTAGGGCTTCTTCCCAAAAAAGGAAAGCCACAGAAGGTACTCAGTGTACGAATAAGGACCCAGAACGGGTGATTTATTCTTAGAAAGCCCAAAAGAGGCATAGGCATATTACAGAATGATGACCAGAACAGAATTCTGTAGCTCACTCGTTACTATTAACAGGCCAATATCCAAGCATCATTGGGACATGAAACCTTTTTTTACAAGGCAGGATTGGCCATTTCACATTTCACCTGTAGTGAGCACAGTATGATCTTCTCTCTGGTGATCTTTTTCCCATGCCCACTCTTCCTTTGAGGTCCACCGGCTCCTACCACTGCTTAGGTGTTCTGTTTCTCCCTTGCTGCTTATTTGCCAGATAAGGGGGAGACATCAGCTACTGCAATCTCTCACAACCTGTCAATGATGATACTTTTAAAAATAGCATTTGTGACCACCACTTTGTGAAGTTAAGTTTTAGCTGCTTGTAAGTCACCTGATTTTGGAGAGATCACAAAATTATTCCCCCCTACCAAAGGTCACTCTACTTGAGGAATGTCACAAAACTACTCTCTGTCTCACCTCAGTGTCTTCCCATCTTCTCCATCAATAAGAAACCAGGTGTCTCAATCCCTATAATCCTGTTTTTCCTGTTTTTCACTCCCTCAAAATTGTATAACTGTATAGAAACCAAGGTTCTGGGTCATTGGCTACTGAGAGCCTTAAGACCTGGTTTGCAATCAAATGTATTGCTAAATAAATTGTTGTTTGGATATAACTATTTGGTTTTCTTTATTCCATCATAATACTGATCACAAGATCAATGCTAAAGGAAGGAAACACAAAATAGAGAAAGGTATTGAGGCACTCCAGTATAAGTCAGGCTAGTTGAATCCATGATGCATATTGTTGTTTGGACTTTGTTTGGGGGACCAATGATATCACAAGGTGACGTATTTACTCATGTGAAAGGAGCTGTGGACTCCCACCACCATAATGTCAATGTAGAGAAGATCTGTCCACCATGCCTAGACATGCACCTAGGACTCTCAGTCAACAGACTCTCAGAAGAGATGTTAAACACAACCAGAAATTGGTCCCATGACCCAAGCTTCAATGTGATCACTAGAAATGGTAACTGAGAATGCTCCAAAAAGGGTTGAGGGGAAGGGCACACACTACAATAAAAACAAATGTAATGTCTTACAATTGAGTTTGAAAAACTATCTTCATAAGTTAGGAGGGGAGCTTCTTAGCACCCTCCATTCCATTGTGCTCAAGGAACCCTTTCAGGGGTCTCCTACAACTCCATAGCAGTTGCTTCTCCCCCTCAACCCCAACATGTCCCTATTCCAGCCACACCCAGCTGCTTGAAACTCTGGGACAGCTCCACCTCAAGGCCAAACCCTTATTGACAATGATAACCTGCTTGAACTCATTCTTCAGTAATGAATATACTCTCATCCCCTCATATCCTCTGCATCCCAATGATTCTGAAGCCCCCAGCTTTCCCTGTTCAAACGTCATTCTCTGTCCTCCACTGACTGATTTCTTATTTCCATATCCCTCAATCCAACTCTCCCAACCACTCCCTCTAAAGCTACCCATTTCTCCTACTATACTCTCTGGAAGGCTTGCTCCATAGGTAACAAACTTGTTTTCCTATTAAATGTTTTCCTTTCTCATTCCCTCCATCTGACTTCCTCTCAATGACACAATGGTCATCCTTTCTAGCACTAGCTGAAATTTCACTCAATTCCTCTCAATTCACTGGTCATGGTGTGAGTTATGTACCCTCTCCTGCTTTGAGGTTCATTTAATTCATACTTATCCAATCAAGATTCTGGTGGTTGTCCTTTCTCCTTACTTCCTCAGTGGGTTCAGTGTATGGCTTACAGTCTTTCTCACCTCCCCAACTTCTGCCTTCATAGTAGGGGATTTCAACAAGGCTCCCTCAAATACCTTAACTTCCAAATTCCTTAACTTACTAAATTCCTAGAACTATTCCAAATCATCTCAGCTACACACAAATAGTCATACCTTTGATCTTGCCATCACCCAAAAGTATTCTACTTTCATATGAATTCTGAAATTCCCTTATCTGATCATGATCTGTTGTCATTTCACCTCTCCCTCTGTCTTATACCCTCTAATTCTGTTCTTTGTCCTCACCATGACCACCAATCCTTCTACCCCCTCAGTTCTTTCCCAGTTTCTTTCCCACTTTTGCCCCTGGCTACATTCTCTTTCTTCCCCCATCTTAACCCCTTGGTGAACCAGTTCAACTCTACATCATCCTCTTCTGTCTAGTACTTGACCTTTTATCCTATCAAAGACCTTGTCCTGCCAAACCTCAGCCTGGGATTACTATCACCATCTGCTGCTGTATTTGTTCTTACTCAAGTGTTACTAAATGAAGCTGGAGAAAATCATGAAACTGGGTCCACTCCAAATTTCTGTGATATAGTATTAACTGGGTCCTCACTGGATCGAGACAATCCTTTTATGCCTTCTAGTCATATTTACAGCAGCTCTTCCAAATCTTTTCATTCCTCTTCAAGGCCCCCATGGCTCCACCACTCCCCACCCTCTCAGCTGAGAACCTGGCTTCATAGTTCTCTGAAAAAAAATGAAACTATTCACCAAGAGCTCCTTCTTCTTCCCTCCTTAACTTGTGTCACTCAGATGCTTTCTCCCACTATCTTTGTTTTCTCTTGTCTCACTTGATGAGGTGGCCCTTCTCCTTGCCACGGCTAACCCTTGTGGAATTCACAATCCCATTCCATCCCATCTTCTCCAGCATATTGCCTCTTATAGCATTTCCGCTCTCCCGGCTTCTTCCTTACTGCCCACAAACATATCCATGTCTCCCTCATCTTCAAAAAAATCTGACCATCTGACTTGATCTCACCATTCCTGCTAGCTATCATTCTATATCTCTCCTCTTTTGAGAAGCTAACCTCCTTGAGAAGGCCAACTAAAATTGGTGTCCCCGATTCTTTTCCTCTCATTCTTGTCTTTACTCTCTGCAGTCTGGTTTCTGACCTCATCATTCAACTGAAACTGCTATCTCCAAAGTTATCAATGATTTCTTAATTGCCAAGTCTAACAGCCTTTTCTTAACCCTCATTTTTCTTGACTTCTTTGTAATCTGACAATTTCAATCACCCTCTTCTCCTTGATATTCACTTTCCTTTAGATTATTTTCATGACACTGCTCTCTCCTGGTTCTCTTCCTGTCTCACTGATCCTTCTGTCTCTTTTGCTATTTTTTAAATCCACATCATGCCCGCTACCAGAACCCAAAGGCTTTGCCTTGGGCCGTCTTCTCTTCTCCTTCTATACTATTTCAATTGTTGATCTCATCGGGTCTCATGGTTTCAACTGTCATCCTTGGGCAGATGATTCCCAAATCTACTTATCCAGTCCTAACCTCTCTCCTGACCACCAGTCTCTTATATCCCC